GAAAAGTGTGCATGCATGAAAAGCGACTTTTAGCAGTCTGAGAGTGATTCGAAAGGAACAAGAGAGAATACGGTTAGCTGAAGGAGGACTTGTGACGTTTGGAGTCATCTTTCGAGCGTCGGATGGTCTTTCGATTGCCTCGTCTGCCCAGTTGAAAGAGAATTATAAATAAATCACAAATTCTGGGAAATATTGAAATATTTGTGGCATCACTCAATCGACAGAAAATTCAAGCAGCCAAGCGACAGAGCAGTTAATATTTGCAAAACATCCACACCATGATCAAAATGAACCAAAACTATATGGTGTTGATATGGTACCTGATAATTGTGATTGTGCTGGTTTACCTTTTTGCATTTTCCCAATAACGATGGAAGGGGATGAGTGCTGCAAAATGCTGGTGGGACGTAGCTGCTGCCCATCAGCGACGAAGACTTAATCGTAGTGGAGATGTGACAATAGTTTACTGACACTCGCAAACACACATTCACTTTTAACACACACACACTCGCACTTGAAAAAAAATGTACACTTAGGTTATCCAGTGCCGTGGCTAGAATCTTCCTTTCAGAGAGAATTGTTCAGATGGTTACATTCATCTAAGGTTTCCACATAAGTAGGCTTTTGGTTATTCAATTGTATACTAAATGAAACTTTTGATGGTTGGGCTTGCTGGTAGAGTATTTAGTTGTTTTTTGTCAACATTAGCGTATAACTTGTCGGAAGTTCTTGGATTTATGAAACTATTTGAGCAAATTTTTATAGGTTGAAATTTTTGAATAAGCTTTGAATCAAAACACATTTAATTACACTGTGCAACAAACTTGAACTTTTTTCCTGCACAGACAAATTTGACCATATTTGACTTTCTTGTGGTTCCCCCTGGAGTTAAGGTGTAAAATATACTTATGCCCAAACACGTCACATTTTTTATGTATCGCCCTCTTTATGAATGGCGATATGATTCAGGATTTTGGCCATCAACTGCCAACCTAAGCATGTGGCATTATTATTGTACAAGCAACATTTGTAGAAAATGACTGAAGGAACATTTGTTTCAAACATTTGAAAACGCTATCTCGATGGAATGTATCTAATACTTAGGTGGTGTCTTTCTAAACGCCGACAACCTCCGTGGTGCGAGCTCGCTTATCTCATACACGCCTGTACTGCCCTTTTCAGCATAGTTGTCCCATTCGTTAAAACAGCACGCTGAGAAAAACGTAGTTGAAGATTTTTTTCTCCGCGGGCTCTTATGGATGGGACAACCTAGTTTTGGTATTTTTCGCAACATTTTCTAAACAAAGTATGAAACTTTTCTTGTACATTGTAAAGTAATGGTACTTGATAATCGATTCCAATGCATAACTCATTTTCGCTAAAAATGCTAAAAGGACTGTTATACCTCACAGGGCAGTGTAGGTCGGTACATAAAGAGTGAAAAAACGTGACGTGTAGGAGCTAATGCATATTCTAGACTTTTAACACCGACGAACCGACGTGCCAGCTCATAGAAGCTACAATCAAGTTCTTGCCAAAGACGCCATATTTAAAATACGATAAACACTACCGCCATCTACTCATCCGATCGCGTCATATCGTAAGCAAGGATACGAAGCACGTACAATTTATATTGACTTGGTTTGCGTCTCACCTCGTTTGACAGATTTGATCGCCCGTTTGCTAGATCGAATCGCTCATTTGACAAATCGAATTGCGGACAAACGAAATGCTCCAGTGGCATGTCGGTTTGTCGGTGCTTTTAATCCGCTGACCATAAGAAAGTCAAATACAGTCAGTTCTGTTTTCACACGATTTAAATTTATCCGATCATGTTCTCATTAAGAATGAGTACAGAAAATTCAAGACCACAAGACTTTTATTTGAATTTTTAATGATTTATTTAAATTAAGTTGTGCTAAATCAGGTTGAAAATTAAGAGCCATTAAACCAATTATTGGGCTCCTGACCGCTGCGGAATTCAAAAGTTGACATGTTAGCAATGCATGGATCATCTGAACAAGTAATTGAGATCAAGAAATTAGCAATCAGACGGAGCAGGCAATGATCTACTAACAAATATTCACAAACCATTTTTTAAATGTTCCGCTATCGAAAAATCCGGCGGAACAAAATTTATTTCTAAACTCACTTAAAAATAGATTATGCTCTTTCCTGTGCTTACGATAGTACAGGGCGCAATTTTGAAACATTTCAATGAAAGGGCGAGGCCAATATTGTTTACCAACAAAAGCGAAAATAGTAAAAGGCTCATTTTTGTCTCAAACGTAAACACGGCGGAAAGTTAAGGGCGACACTTTTAAGGAAATCAAAACAAGGCGCATTGTATTTAGCGAATTGTTGTTGTCATACATGTTAGGGGCGATTTAATGAGGGCGTATTCTTAATGTTCCGCATTTACGGGCGACATTATAAAAAATGACGAGTTTTCAGGGGAAAATGAACAAAACGTGCAACACAAATAAAAATGGATAAAATTTGCAATGGTAAATTTAATTGCTTTCGAAAAAAAAATATTGCTACATCTTCAATTAAAAATTAAATTAATACGTAAAAACCTGTTCGGGTTTTCTCCATTTATTTACATTTTGCTTGTTTCGCCCTAATCACAATTTGCTCCGGAATTATCAATGAAAAATATCAGTGTCTGTACTGGTTTAATAACAGGCCATTGTCCATATAAATATCACTTGAAGCAAATAGCGCAGACAGACATTCTAGCTTGAATCTCAGCATACCCGTCATTTTAAATGAGATACTCAAATAGCAATAAGCTATATGTCTATATTTCTAGAAGATAAATCTTCATTGGATATATAGGGAATTTTCTTAAGAATTTCCTTTGAATCATACCAAGATGTCTCCAGAGTTGATTTCAGGATTCTTCTGAATAATATTTTGATTCTCTCTAATAGAAATGATGATGGAACCCTACAAAGGTTTGAGCTGGACGATTTATCTTTAAGATAACTAAATATAACATTTTAACCAGGTTAGCAAAAAAAAAAAATCGAAATTGTTTCAAAAGCGCGTTTCAGATCAAAAAAAAAAAACAATCGTATCTTTACGCTCCAAGTTGTCTTTCCACTTCGCTAACACAAAACTCAACGTAGTTTCACAAGAATGACCTTCTCGATATCCATGAGGTATCAACAAAGAGTTTGTATTCAAATACTCCAACAGCTGGCCTTTAACAAAAAGTTCTAAAATTTTCTCTAATGTGTGCAACATGTTGATGGGACGAAACTGTTCGGTTTTAATCGTTCCAGCAACTTTTTGAATAGGAACCACTAAGGATTCCTTCCAAATTTGTGGCACATTTCCAGTCTGCAATGACATGAAAGCAATATTGAATAACTTAAGCATTAACATTATCTACTCCAGCCGATTTTCCTAATGAAAAGCAAATAACTCTAAGTTCATCTAATGTAATTGGGTGAAAACCTACAAATTTACAACTACTATTAACTGGCTATTTTATTTCGTCAGGTTCATCGACTAATTCAATGGATTGATTAATCAATGAAACACTGTCCACAAAATAATCATTAAATTTAGATGCACAATTACTTGTTCAGACTGTTCTAATGTGACATTAGTTAGCATTCCATTGAAGTTTATTTTTTCACAGTCTTCGCAATTCTCTGCATACCACTTTAGAAATCCCCTCCAGGAAACTCTTATAATTTACTCTACAATTATCCTAGTACATAACATCAATAATTTTCGCGTACATAACATCAATAATTTAGCTTGAAAAGTTACCCTTTTGAATTTTACGCTTGGGATATCTCTTAGAATTCCCTTGGAGTCTTGAAAATATAAACAGCCTAACATGAAAAATTCAGTCTAGCAGTCCCAAATTGAATTTAATAAAAAAAATCATTGAAATGCTTCACAAGATTTGCCAAGGATTTTCCTAGGAATTTTCTAACAATGTTCTTATAAATTTCTTTGAAAACTACGTATTTTCATCTCCCAACTACAGGCCACATTCCAAAAGTTTTCCGAAATAATAATCTGTGTCCAAAGTAACAGTTTTGGTTTTATCGTGCTCTTTCAGACATCGCTCTTGTTAAACCTCGATAGAACTTGCAATGTTTCTTGGGGTATTTTTATCATATTTAGCTGTTTCAAACCGGGAAAACCGAAAAAAACCGGGAATTTAAATTCTTAATTCTAGTGACCAAGCATGGGAAAATTCATTCACTCGCGCGAACACCACAGAATCAAAATAGCCATCATCACCTACAAACAGATTGCCGAACGAGTGTAAATTATTCCAACCAAGTGACTCTGCAGGTCGACTCAGAACTGACAGCAATAGAAGGAAAGAAGGATAAACTGAAAGGCAGCCGAAAAATGTTCTCTATCGAGGGAGAACTAGATTGAATGCGTAAGATCCGAATGCTAACGATTTAAATAGCCGATTCAGATAGTTTTTGGCTCACTGATTTAAATCATTTGAATTGGTCACAGCAGTTTTACGGTATTTGCTTAACGCTTATATTTATCTGTTACAGTATAACCTTTTTCTCCATATTAATAGCAATTTAAATGTATCCTGATGAATGTGGGCGTCTTAGTAGAATACCTGTATAATGAGAAAGAGAAGGATCCTTCTCTCTCTCATTATAATTTAAATGTGTCAATGTATTTTCAAAGCTAGAAAATAAAAAGTGATTCTTTCTGCAAAATTCTCATTCAGCTCACTCAGCAGAATGCAATCGTAAAAGGTTCAGCATAGAAAAAATAATAAGAGAGGAATGATCCACACTACTACACTCAGAATCATTCATGTTACGCTCAGCTGTCTGTTTTGCTCAATTCTGCGTTCATCGAAGAAAATAGAAGCGATGCGAATACGAACGAAATCAGTGCGGCTCGCACAAGCTGCTGTTCGTTTCTGATGTTTTTTTTTTTTTTTTTCTTTATTTTTGTGATTTTTAGCCGTAGGCTAGTTCATCACATCGGTTTCTGATGTTGTATGCATGTGAGTGAGTAGTAAATGCAAAATGAATCGATTTTTCCCATGCTTGCTAGTGACTACCCTGATAATATAATGGTTATTGAAACTCAGTGACGATTAAAAAGCAGGTAAATTGAAATAGTTGAACATTTGATTGTAGACAAACCTCGTTATCAGTTTGATTTAATTCATTTAATTTCACATAGTTAGAGATGAGCAATCTGATCCGTTCAAAATATCAGTATGGAGAGTGAATGCTCCACGGTTTCGTTTTATTAAAAACTGGATCATCGGTTAGGTTAAGCAAGGCTATCTTTATTAGTAAGGCCCGGATCATCGGTTCATCAGAGTTCAATAAGTTTTTCAATGTACTCTGATCGAAAACATTAAGGATTGAGAATGAGCTGTTAAAAATGATCATTAAATAAAATCTTTGCATTCAGATCCTACGCTCTTTGTTACGTTATCGTTATCTTGTTTCCATCTTCTCTCATTTGACAGTTCTCATCAGCTAGCAACGGTCATGTTCTCACTACAAAAGTGAGTGTAACGTCAAACTTGCTAGTCCGTTTATAATCAATCGAGAGTGACAACTTGTTTAAATTATTTTTTCGTTCATTCTAAAAAGTAAAAATTATTAATTTTCAAAGTTCTGTCGATATGATTTTCTAACTGTTAAATGTAGCATTTTGTTACATTCATGATGGTAAATTTTTACTATAATTAGACTGAGAGAATAAAATGCTGAGGGACTATTTTTAGTGCAGGAATCAACTTTGGGGCAAAATGCATAATACTTACTATCATAAATTTGGAATGTAACAGTTAATCTTCATCGACTTGCATAAATTAAAACCAATAGAATTTTTTTTGTGAGTGCCCGATGATATTCAAAATCTCCCTTCCAAAATGGAAATGAAAATTCAAATTTACATCAATACCGGCAATATTCATCGGCTAATGAACCTAAACAAAATTTAACCTCGACAATCAACGGTTGGCTTGATCGAGAGAATGTTGTCATAATAAAATTAAAACTCATAGGGTTAAGATCTAATATGTGACTTCTAAATGTATTTACCTTTCCATACGTACCGTGTGATTTCATACAGAGTCAGAAATTGTTGAGATATTGTTAAAAATCTAACAGTGCTTCTTGATTTCAATTCTGTCATACGAGTTACAATTCTATCCAAACACATTGAAACGTCATTAGATTCACTTCGGCATACGGACGAAGACAGAAAAAATAGTTTAGCTAGGAGCGCCTCTTTTGTTTTTAGAAGAATGGATATACATATTCATAATAAACGTTCTTATAGACTTTGTTTTGTAGCCTTTGAACTAAACTATCGTTTCAAACGTGTGATTGATTCGTTTACGTCGAAATCATTGATATATTTGATGTTTCTGTTCGATGTGATGGAAATGGACGCTTATGCCGAAGTAGTTCTCTACCCAACAGGTATCTAGCAGATTTATCTGAAGGCAGGCTTGAAGTTGACACTCAGCCAATATAAGCGCAGAAAAAAAAAATGTATCAACACTGTTCGTTGTAAGCATACATGTCACCTAATTACGTAAACTGAGTCAACTTTAGACTAAACTGAACTACTCATGAAGGGTGCTCATCCTTTCCCAAGTAATTTTTTTTTTAATTTTTAGCTTTTAAACTAGACCATTAACACAGTTGTTACTTAGACTAGAAATGATCAATTGATTGCTCAGATTAAACCCGATAGGCAAGAGCCATTAGCTACGGATCTGGGAATTGTTGTTCACCGTCAAACCTATCAGATCATCTTATATTGAGCAACTTGCCATCCATTTCAGTCACCGGCACCAGTAGGAGCACGCTGAACACATAAAAGGCGACAAGCACATGCAACACCTGTCCCGGCCTAGAATAGCTGTAACATTCCCAATAAAAAAAAAGGAAAAAATATAAGAAAAGACAACACCGTCCTACACGCCACACACGCTGTACCTAAACGACACGTACCCCTAGAAGTTATTTCTCGCCATAGTGGCTGCTTCCATTCAACACATTAGAAGAAATATGTATCCCAGCGAGCGACTAGAAAGAGAGCATGCCACAGCTGTTAGAAATGTTTCTACTAAGTTTGTATGCAAAATAACGTAGCGTATAGTAATTAGCTTAGAACCGAAACCATATCGTCGTCGTCGTCGTCGTCTTCGTGTCCACTCAGAAGAGACTCTCGCAATAAGAGTCAAAATAAACCGAAAATTCTCCGTTGCAAGGAAAACGCATTCACATGGCCGATATCTTACGGAAAACCATAGCGAAAATTATGCACACATAATTAATAATTATAATCGATATAAATAAACGAAATCGTCGAGACAGAGAAATAGCAAGAGCCAAACGCATAAACAAATATGCACGTCGTCGTCGTCGTCGTGGCCGCCGTCATCGCTCTCATCAACGTTGTACAGAAAAAAGAATCCATCGGTACTTTGCCATTTGCCGTCGGAAAATGAGACTGGAAAATTGCCCACCGGCAGCGTCGCCTTCGTGGACTGTCAGTTGCCAGGAAGTCGTCTAGTTGGACAGATCAGGGAGAAAATTTGGGAAAACGGTACGACACCCACTTGATTTTTCCTCCTAAGAAGTGCAGAGCGGTATAGCATCTGTTGGTGTGTAGTGGAATGGCTAATGAGTGCTCAGCGGAAGTGACACTGAAACTGAAAGTGTAAGTGTCGTTTGATTTTTTTTTAGAAATGCATTTCGTTTGTGTAGGTAGGTATTTGCATATTTGTTTGAATCGGACTGCACAGGAAAAGTAGTTTAGACGGTCAAGTGAGTTTACGGCGCGTGTGAAAGTCAATGTGAAAAATGTTTTCGAAGAGAAATTGACAGGGTATTTATATTTGTTATGAGCAAAGTAAACAACCAGGCTATAAATTGGAAGTTAATAATTCTACGTCACTTTTGGATAGTAAAATTTTGTTTTATTTCTATTTTGCATTCAGCAATTTGTATGTACAATTTACCATTATTTGTTTTTACTTAAATTGGTTTTAAAAGGTATGTCTATTTTTGAATATTGAGATGAACTGTATGTAATAAATATATACACAGGAATTTTCAACCTATTTAACCTCATTTGCTTCCAAAAGAAAATCTCAGAAATTAACTCAATGTAGCAAGCACTGAGCCGGATGTTCTAATTCGAACATAATTGATATCGTCAGTTATGTATCCGACAACATACGAAGTTGTGAAATAAACTTTAAATCACGATTCGCTTTTTGAGGTATGTATAAATTCGTGGTGGAGCATCAACTTTTGGATGTACAAGTTAAAATATTAATAGAGCATTAAACATAATATTAGATTAGATTTTATGTTTTTCGTAAGACTCATCATATTTTGTTGAATAGTAATAAACGTTAAGGTTGAATATTTTTGTTACTCTTCTTCTTAACTTTGTACGCTATCCATTGATTTAATCTTTCTTGACGTAATTAATCGTGCTAAAAGTTTCCTATCTTTTTCCTCCCTGGTTCCACTAATGGTTTCAATAATGGGTACAGCTATCGGTCCTATTTGGAGATAAAAAAAATTAGTTTCGTTTAACATAAGACCAAAATGGTTGTAAATATTACCTGTGGTGTGCACGATATACTCTTTGTCTTCTCCTGATGATAAGTGATACTTGTAACCTTCAGTGCCATCCGGGCCATATTCAATAAATTGAATGCTATTTTGGAGGGTACTGAATAATTAATTGAATTCTACTTAATGTTTTACTTCTTTCATACCTTGGCTTCGTCGCCAACTCCTCCAATGTTTTACGAATTACGTCCACATCGTTCAATTCAAATTCGACAGATGATTTCAAGGTTGTCTCATTTCGTGCCCACGCAACACAGTTCACTGTCACGAGAATCAGTAAAGTCTTTCTGATTATCATTTCGATACGATACACTGTGTGACAAGAATGCAACTAACGCGCCTTTTTATCCTACTCACTACCACCTTCGGGCGCCACCGTTAAAAGAAACACATTATACAGAACCGTTGGTTATCTTTTTATACTAATTTCATGACCTTGCTCCAGTTTTGCGATGGCGGAAGGGTTGCTGAAGTAGACAAAAAGAAAACTGGTTTTGTGAGATTAAATTATTGGCGGGTTTTAAGGTTTCGACAGTATCCACTCGCCAATAGATTGGCTCTGAAATGCAAATATCAGCATCTAGATTGTGCGATCGAAAGTAAAATGGTAATACCAGTTGTTGAGTACTTCTTTTGATCAGCTTCCGGGCTTTACCCCTAGAAATCAGTTTAATACATAACGATGGAAATGGATATATAGATTCTAGAGCTTGTATAGTGAAAATGCATGGTTTTTATAATTATCTTTTTGTATCATTGCAGAGTACATAGCACCACACAGCATCCGTCGGCAGCAGAATGGACAATTCCCAGACACAGTTTACCGTGCAGGCACAGTATTCCTTCAAGGGATCGAATAATGATGAACTGTGCTTCAAGAAGGGTGACATTATCACATTGACCCAGCGCGAGGATGGCGGCTGGTGGGAAGGTACCCTTGGCGACAAAACGGGCTGGTTTCCGAGCAATTACGTCAAGGAATATGTGGGTACGTATAAAAATTTTCCGATTTGGTAGATAGTAGGAGGTAAATGCATCATTTCTTTTCCGGCTAATTAGGTCCACTGCCACTTTCGGAAACGATACGTCCTCCGGAAGACATTCAAGCCTTTCGTTCGGTTGTATTTCGCGATCTGTTGGAAAGCGAACGAGCACATGTCGCTGAGCTCCGGGGAATGGTGGAAAATTTCTTAGAGCCGTTGCAAAGTAGTCAAATGTAAGTTTTTTCTCTCATTTTAAGACATCTGATTGTATTAAACCTTGCTATGCAATAATTCCAAACAGTTTGAATACCGATGAATACACGCAGTTAATGTGTAACTTTGTCGAGATTGTTGAAATGCACGAAGAGTTTCTTCAGAATCTGGAAGAATCGAACGATCGTGTCGGAAAAGTGTTCCTTACGAAAGCTCCCACCATGAAAATAATACACCAATGCTATTGTTCGGCGCATCCTCGTGCCATCGTTATTGTTGATAAGTATCGGTAAGTTGTTTCTAGGAATTAAGCTATACAACTGTTATAATCTATCGCTCTTTTGTTTCGTAGCGACGAACTGAATGCGTTTATGGAAAAGCAAGGTGCGGCTAAACCCGGTCTGTTGGTCCTAACCACCGGTCTGTCCAAACCCTTCCGTCGGTTGGATAAATATTCTGCCATTTTACAAGAGCTTGAAAGACACATGGAAAGTTGCCATCCGGACCGAGGAGACACTCAACGTAGCATAGCGGTTTACAAGGATATTGCTTCATCTTGTGCGGCTACTCGCAGGCAAAAGGAACTAGAATTACAAATCCTAACTGGACCGATTCGGGGTTGGCAAGGTCAAGAACTTACTACTTTGGGTGAAATAATCCATATGGGTAGCGTTGCCGTTGGTCCCGAGCACAAAGACCGTTACTTTGTGCTTTTTCCGCAAACGTTGCTCATTTTGAGCGTAAGTCAGAGAATGAGTGCCTTCAAGTACGAGGGAAAACTTCCGTTAACTGGCATCAGTGTGAATCGTTTGGAAGATTCAGAGCAATTGAAAAATGCATTCGAAATAACAGGATCACTGATCGATAGAATTGTAGCCGTTTGTCAAGGGCCGAACGAGGCAAATAAATGGGTCGATCTTCTCGGTGCAAAGCTAGCAGGACTTGATGGTCAACCGGGAAAGGATATGAAAAGAATTGTGAGCAGTTCCGCGGTTAACATTCCGCAGCCTCCACCTCATGTAAGTATGAATGTATAATTTGACCCCTACCCTTGCTGCCCTCCTCAGTGGTTATGGTATTAGTTCCTTTTTTCTTTCTAAACTTGTAACGAGTCCTTGGTTTAGCTTTTGTCGAGTAGGGATTGTTTGTAGATAGCAGTTTAGCTTTTCCATCTTCAAACAATTGCTACTTGACTTTCCCGAAAAAAGAAAAACCGTTTTACTCTGTCTCCATTTTATTTTATTTGTTTCTCTCTGTATCTCTTTCTCCCTCGCTGAAATGTAAAAAAAAAACAATGTTTCAAAACTACACTCAATTGAAAAATGAACAAAACCCATCCCAGAGTAAAGAAACGCTCGACACACGTGGATACTGCACCCGCGTGTCCGTATGTGCATACAGTCAAAACTATCAACCGACTTTTCCGCCTAGCTCTTATCCACCTACGGCACCGTACACCGCGCTAACGTCCTTCTTTCGACACCTGTTCAAAAATGGTGGCATGTCGCGGTATATTGTGCAAGCATTGCTCTATCCCCAAATCACACAGGATATCGATTTCAGCGATGTTGTGATGCGCCGGAGGCATCGGACTACCATTCGAATGTACCGCAGAGACCGGGAAGCGGAGGTTAAAAAAGAAGATGACGAAGAAGAAGAAGAAGAAGACACAACTCCCGACGAAGAGTCTGGAGATGATTCGTGTACTTCGTCATGTTCAGGTAGATCAAATAATTTGGAACGCCAAAATGCAGTCGACTATGGCGATGAGGATCCATATGAAATGATTACGTTTTTCACAGGCCGGAAAAACGATAGCACTACTAGAGAAAGTACGGTTTATGAAAGCTACATCGGTCATGCGGGAGAAGCGGATGAACCAGATGAGTCGTTTTTCTTCATTCAGGGTCAATCGGTGAGCGAGGAGAGAAAGAGTATCGAGAGTCACGGTTCACATATCATTGGTTCAAAAGCGATTCCCTGTTTAATGCTGAATGACTGCGAGTCATTTGAAAGTGGCGAGGGTAATGGCAATGGTGGCACAGGCTCTGTACATACTACAACGGCAAGATTGCATCTCGGGGAGATCAAGCAGCAGTGTTCGGAGCAGTCTCAAGTATCTAGTTTTGAGCATAGAGTAGGCCATGGCCGTATGGCGTGTGAGGATTTAGTGAACTTAGATGATTCCATGAAGATCAAACATTCGCTTCAACAGAAACCAATAATCGAGGAAAGGCACAGCATGCCAACTTTGTTTGTTGGAAATCGTTTCGCTAGTTCTTCGGTAACTGAGATTTATATACCTTCGTGGAAGGATCAACAAGAAGTACAACAGCAACAACAGAAGCAGAAACCCGTAGATAGTCCTGCCGCTAATTGCACCAGTGTACATTCCAGTTCGCTAGATATTCCCGCCTCTGAGGCAACCATTTCCGTACCGGATAATGTCTCTGCAGAACTTCTATACAATTTCCATAATTCGTCATCTGGATCCTCGCCAGCGGTATCATGCAAGGTCCTTACGTCTCCACAAGACTTCCAGATCCATAATCCTGATATTGGCTGCTTATCCCGTGAGATGTCACCATTCCGTAAGCATTCAATAAATTCTGATAAAAAACTTCTGCTAAATCAAGCTCATCTCAGAAAGGGCAATAGTGAGGATCGATCATCTGGTCAGTCTGGTAGGAGGTGTGTCAGTTATCAATATGTAAATATGGGAAACGTTGACCGATCGGGTGAGATCAGTAACAGTAGCAGTAAGAAAGGTGATGAAGATGAAACACCGACTCAACAAACGACACACTACAAAAATCATCGTCCAAGAGAACACCATTCAAAGTGCCGTTTTTGTAGTACCAGCTCTGGATCACGTTGTCACAGTCCGCGGTCGAGTGATTCAGGTATGGCCGGTAGTTGTACGATATCCTCACCTGATCCTCCTAAATTATCAGGCCATTTTCTTCTTTATGATTCAGAACATCTGGACAATGGTGCGGCCACGGCTACTGAAAAGAGTAGCAACCAAAATAGTGCCCATAGAGACAATTCTTTGCGCCATTCGCGTTCGAGTCACAATATCGGACGTTTCGCATTACCTCGTGACAGTGAGCTAAACTACATCGACAGTGGCCAGTTTGATCAAAGTCATCCATTTCATGAAGATCACCATCGGAATAACACCCTTCGAAGCGAGGATTCCGAGCTGGATCCACTGACATTCGTACGTAGTCGAAGCGAGGAACGCCATTCAAGTGACGATGAAGGATCTACCAAAAAGCAGTACATCGGACGAACTCGAATAGTAGTAAATCTATACGGACATCGGAGAACTTTTGAATCGGACGAAAGAGGGGATCAGAGCAAACATAGTGATCAGTCGCGACAAGGAACAATCTATAAGACTGGACTGTATGCACATTGGTGGAAAAAGGAAAAGCTACCCATCTTTATTGTTGGCCACGATGACACGGCAGGCAAAAAGAGCAAAAGAGCTGGTGCTGCTTGTAATCGTGATCGTGATCATGTTGATGCCGTTCGGGGTTCAGGCAAGAATCTAACGTTTCTGTAGTGTTGTTGCATTGGTTTTTGATGTTTTGTTCACCATACGTTTAATACGGTTTTAAATTTCCTTATTTGAGAACGTTTAGAATGCTTTACTTTTTCTCGATTGGTTCAATGGTTTTTGTTGAAACGAATTTTGCAGACTGTGCATAAGGCATATACAAAAATATCTCCAAATTGTAGGACTGTGTCGTGTAAAGATGGGTTTTTGAACAGCATCAAGCCGTAAATTTTAGTTGAGTAAACTGCTATGATTATACGCCGAAGTTATGAATAGTCGGGCGCAATCTTATTTTTCTTGCAACGCTTTCGCTGTATAGGTTTAATAGATCTATAAGTATAAATATGTGCTTTTATCAGTCCTACAATTTAAAGAAAACACAAATGACTGAAATGCGTCGCGATTAATTAACGTATAACAGAATTATTTTCAGTTTTTTTTTATTTGTTTGAAGCAATTAAACTACTTGGCGAGTGGCTTACAATGCGTGGTCGCTTTGTTTGAATAAACTAAATCGTATCATGTTGCGTTTCATTTTCTTTTTTCATCATTTTTATATCTTCTGCATTTCCGAGACTGCACTGCCTGGGCCCCATTTCGGTCACATCCACGAAAACCAACAATATACTAATAAAACTGTACAAATAAAAACAAAAGCATTCCCTGAAAGCCACACAGCATTCCCTTTTCTCATTATTTCACTGTCCGTCTAAAATGAATTCGCTCATGCACAAATGTATTTCCTTACTTAATGATCTAATCCGTAAAATTTCCCTGAACTGTCTTAAATAAAGTCATCGTCATCGCTTAAATGCAGCTGATTTGATTTTTTTTGTCAACCATCTTTCATCAGAATATCCATCATGTTGTTAACCACCATTTGTCTGTTGTATTTTCTCTCACCGTACACATTTTAGATGTCCCCACCAACATCCGGCAACAGCCATCCATCACGAGGCAGCTCCATCACACAGCACATGTCGCAACACAAACGCAGCCAATCGTTCAATCATCATCTGAGCTACAATCAGGTCCAGCATCAGCAGTCCCAAAAGCAACTTCTGGCGAACTTTGCCAGCCGGAATTCCGATCAAAGCCAACAGCAACCGGTGCCAAACCTAAAGGGTATCAAAGAAAAAGGTTCGTTGCTTATTATGTCATCCAAATCTCCCACTATTTGTGATACGCGCCATTCTGTATCATCGTAGCTAATTGGAAAATCACCAACCTCAGGCCTGCCCCCTCTTTACGGCCGGCTCTATTGAACGGCGGGGGTGGAAGTGGAAATATTGGTACCGGCGGCGGTGGTCTCACCGGATCCGGAAGTGTTCATCACAGTTTGTCGCTTAGTCAGCAAAGCACGAAAGCACCACCCACATACGAAGAGGACGCTCTCGTGCTGCGTGTCATCGAAGCGTATTGCGCCGCCTATCAGAGCAACGCACGTAATACGATGCACTCCGGTAAGTTTCCGATTTTTGGTTTTTGCCAATGTTTCCATGTTTTCATAATCCTCCCATCATCCTCACCTACTGACAACAACTCTAATACACGTGCCACCCACTGAGAGGTTTGTTTTATTTGTTTTTCTTTTAAACCATCTTTTAAAGTGATGTTAAGGCAAATGTATTATTTTAGACATTTTTAAAATTTGTTTTGCATTTGACCAAGAAAATGAAGTTTTTGGCAAAATACAAATTGTACATGGGTTGAGCTCCTCTTTTGAAATATTCGGATCCAATAAAGGGTATGACAGGTTTGTAGTACCCATAATCGCATAACAGTCTCATATGGATCGGAAATCAAGGAAAGATGCGACGGATATGCGATTATGGGAAGTGTATAAATTGCAACACGCTTAGGATTTCTTGATAAAGTTGATACGCATGAAGCCACAACGAAAGTTGATTTTCGAATATATGGACCAACAGATTTGTGCTACCATAAGGGAAAGAAAGAAAATTGGTTTTGTTGATAATACAATTTTTTTGAGTAAACGGTATTGCAAGATATCTGAAAAACGAAATAATTCTTAGACATTCTTTTAATTTATTAATTTTTGTTGCTTTGTTTGTAACTAACACAGTCGCCAATGACTAACGCTTTCTATGTAAATGACTTAGTGCAACAATGGTTGAAAAGTGAATTTACCAAAAGTGATGTTACCAACTGGTCTTGTGTTAATAGTATGTTTTGTTTTGCATCTGACACGCTCCACAAAGCATTACTCACCACGAACAAATCATCACCAACAAAATACCTCTCTGGTATTCCCTCAGAAAACGCGTGTTAGTGCGCAGTGAAAATATCTATTTCTTTCTTTTCTTCCTTTCTTTCTCTCAATGCCATCCGCTTTCTTTCCTTACCGAACTGTATTTCCAATCTGCCGTATAACGAACCCATGAACAGCACTGCAACCCTGGACGCCTTGTTTGCCAATTCGAGGTGGCAAGCTGAAAACGAGCAGACATTTCTCATCCTCAAATCCGCAAATACCATTCACGTGTTCGTCAATATCATCTTATCTGGTGAATCCAGCGGCAGGAATAAAGAGCAGTAAAAGTCACAATACTGCCTCAACTAGCAGTATCAATACGTCCCACATTTGGCGCGAGGCTACTCCGAATAATTTCAACCTTTATTCCGCTTCAATATCCTCACTCACTTCATCCAACTGTCGGGGACGATATTCTGTTGGAGGCTACGGTAGTACCGAGTGGCGGTCACATTCCGAAGAAAAGCCTGTAACCGGGGTAACCGGGAGTGGTGGAGCAGCTGGAAATACGCTCAAACCATTTACCACGCCAATTGGCCGATCGGGATCTAACTATGATAATATATTCATGAACAATAATACAAACACACCTCTACTATCACGTGTATCGAAACAACAGACGGTCTGGATGAACGCAAATCAAATAACTCGACATCGATCTTCCAGCAGGGAAGTGGAACCTATCCCCAGGAGAGAAAGTCCCCCGCCACCGGCACCGGAAGGACCAATCATACAACAACAACTCTACGATCGACGTCTGAACCGATCATTCGAAACAGCTCAGGGATTGGGTCGAAATAGTAAAATGTCCCAAATGCGCCGTTCTACACCACAATTGAATGGTGACGAGGATGATCAACTGAGAGACGACATGTCACGCAATTCCGTATCGTGCTGCAACAAGTTGCTAATGTTCTACTGGCAGAACCGATAAAGAAAGTAGAGGTTGTAGATAATTCTAGAGTTTTAAACTGCATGTAAGTTTGGTTTTTATCCGTACTGTAAAACAGGATGTTAGTTGGATGGTTTCAAGCTAAGCAACAACAATACAAAGAATTTGGAGGCAAGAGAAAAAGAGCTGGAAGAAAAGAAGGTTGAACGTCTATGTACTTATATGACAATACTCATGAGATTATTGTTGTTTGCCATTTGTTTACGGATTCCTAATCATCATAGCTAGTCACAATATATTCATACAATCGTATTCATGCAAAAGTATACACGTCTCAGTTTTGCGCCAAAAATAAACATAGCTGTACTAATCGTTAACACTCGTGCGGAATTGTGGTGGACATTTTGTGCCATAAAAGATTGGAATCGTCCAAAACTAAATACCACGTTTTGTAGAAACGCATATAGCAAATGACAACTTTGATAATCAAAATTTAGAATAGACATAGACGTAATTTGTAACACATAACATACGGAGATAATAACAATCGTAACGGTAACGGAGAAAACATTTTGTGATATTAGTTGAACTAACGGTTTTATTTTCCTTGTCAAGCTTGCAGAACAGATTTGATGTAATATTGAATGTATCAAACGTAGAAATAGGATAAAAACCTTTTTATCAGCCTCTTCAATAATTGAAACGGAGTTAAACTCAACTAATGTTCCTTCGATGTACGAAGAATTTAAACTGTCCATAATCAAAATTTATTACAACGAACATTGAATGATGGAATGAAGAATTTAGTTTCTTCCTAGTTCGACCTGGCGTACATTTTGCGACACTATTACAATGTGTTTGGTAAACTTGTTATATAATAAATCTTAAAACTTTTTGTACTGAAATTGGCCTCGAGAAAATTGAAACTACTTTGTATTTATTATCCTTCATATTGAAAATAAAGTATTGGAATCGTTGAGTAAAATCATTTGTTTTTATATTAACTCCCAGACAAACGCTTGATATCTTTTTATATAAATATAGGTATTAATACGACTGAAAGGCATGGAAACGTTTCCGCGTTCTCCAATATTAGTTGAGTTTGTATAGGGTTAAATGTAAAAGAATTGAAATAAAAATAAAATTATGTAGACCTTCTGTGTTTCTAAGATTTAACTGTTACGAATTGTTTTCAAATAATTCTGAAAAAGAGGTTCCAGAATTCTGAAAGTTTTTGCGATTTTTTTTTTAAATTTTGTTATTCTTTACATATTTAAAAATATTGTTATATAATACACATTTTTTTAGTACTCGTTTGTTTACCTCTTCTGCTTAATTCAAGGAGGTAATCAATTAACTATGCTTATTCTAATACACATTCTATTGCACAACCTGCAGTGTTGATAAACAATCAATTATTGCTTTAATCTACTTTACTTAATCTATTAAATATCAAAGAGTCCAAAGCATAGATCTCCACCACGACGGTGTTTGCAAATTTAGCTCTGAAGACCTGAACCGTTCGTAGCCTTATACTTGTTAATGAAAATTAGCTTGAATCGATATCGCATGTCATTCAGGGAATCAAACGTTGCTCTCTGCGGTACGCAAAAGACAAAAAGCTTGCGACGACTACAACGATAAAGTGTCTCTGCAATCTTATTAAATAGCAAATAGATAATTGGTTGCAAGCTTTGTTGCTACAAATATTAACGGCATAGCTTGATCGGAACGGTGAAATGACATGAACAATTTCCCATTTTCATACGTATATCGTCTCCTGTGTATGTTGTGAAGAAGCTTGCAAACAATTTTATCTTTATTCTTCCACCGTTCCGATTTTTATGTATGTATGCAGAAACAACTGCGATGGTTTATTTTGTTTTACTGATTTAATTAACTTTTAAAAGGGTGTATGTTTTTTAAAAAGACAATCGTTATTCAAGCCTGTGCTGGAACTCGATCATTTTGTTCACAAACTACGTAGACAGCTTTTGAGGGGTTTTCGACAATCGTCCATAATTGTTTTTGTAACTTTGTACTCAATGTAAAAAAGTTAATTGAATGAAACCGATTTTTAGGGGCCAGTAACTTATTATTAAAATCAGTATAAAACGTGAGCCATTGCATCAAATAAATTGTTCTATAAATACCTAAAATCACATCACCCATCAAAGTGTAAGTTAGGTAAAGGACGCGTTTTATTAGTATTGTGGCATTTGTGCCTCTTTGCTCAATTTCAACTTCTGTTCAATTTTCCCACTGCCGTACTCAATTTATCCTCTTCAGAACTTTATCTAGCTAATAAATTATCTCATTAAAGCTTCACGTTGGTATTAGTGAATCAAGTGAAGCATTTTCTCTCAACTTAAACAAAAATACTTAGAACTAGCTAATCACAGAAACCATCCTAATTTCACTCATGTCATAAGCTTGGCTGAGCCGGCGCCGGTGGTGTAGTGGTAAGCGTGACTGCTTTCTAACACCCCGATGGGTCTGGGTTCAATCCCAGCCGAGGTCGGTGGATTTTTTCTGAGGCATACAAATCTCTGGTCACGTCTTCCTTCGGAAGGGAAGTAAAGCCGTTGGTCCCGGCCCATGTGTGTTGAATTGAATGGGTGCGATATCCTACGCAGGTGTGGAAGCTGCCTTCCTGCACATTCGATTGCCGTCAATGGATGGCAATCGATGTCCGTCGGTGATTGGCACTAGATTGCGGAACAGAGACCGACGTTAAATGAAGGGAAAAAAAATAATCTTGGCTGAAATAAATGGACTCTTTTTTATGAAAACAGTAATCGCCTAAAACTAAAGGAACTGACCAAAAATTACGTGTACAGTTTTTGAGAGATTGACAACCTTCCATACTGCCGCTCTACCGTCCCATATCGAAAATCAGCAAGCCGAGAAAATCGCGTTTCAAGTTTGCTTCGTACCATTGCTTCTTGTGTGCTGGGACATCCAATTTGACTGTCGTTCCAATTTTTTCAGAACTAGGTTTTTGAGTTCATCCAGTATTATGAAAAGATGGGTAATTAGCTGAAAAACTTAGTTTTGACAAAAATGGCTATGTATACAAATTTTTTATTGCTAGAAACCAGCAAAATGTTGATGAATTTTGCCGAGTT